TCGGTTAGGATGTACCATTTTACACCAGAAATTAAAGTGGCCCATTTATAAGATCTAGGCTGTAAAATAGTCTGGATCATCTCTGATCACTAGCAATATCTGCCTGGGAAAAGAGTGGCAATCAGATATGATAAATACAGTATACACAAGAGATAGAAGTTTTGTATTTTTGAGATTGCATCCCTGGTTCAGTGAATTTTCTTTCCCTGTAGTATGCAATGTACTCATGGCCAGATGGATTATCTGCTATTCTAACTGTCCTCTGAGATGTCATCAACTGGACACTGCTAAGACTGGCCTCCATAACAGGTATTCCCAGTTGATCAGTTTTGGTCATGTTTTCAGAGATTTTAAGGACAGAACAGATCATCTTCTCTGTTTTTTTACATAACGCAAGCCCTGATTTTAATTCAGCTGGGGAACACACTATTCATTTTCACTTTCAAACATAATAAGGATAAAGTATGTCTTTGCACAGTCCTTGTATTTAGAGCTGGAGAAATCCTAATTGGTCTCATTTCGTGTGTCTCCTGGGGACCAGCAGAGGATCATTTCCTTTACTGAGTGCAGATATAAGTTCTAAGTGATTCAAAAGATAGAGCTTTCACTGCTTTCCTGGAAAAATAATAATCTCCATCTGCAAAAAGATTTTGCTTATTTTCTCCACTGTTCCTAGTATTATCACTATAAACACAATAATTCAAATCTCTGGAAATGTTTTCCTCTCAAAAGAAGCTACCAGCTTTCTCTGTGTACTGTCTCTCAGGGATTTTACAGCATTTCCTTAACTCCAAATTAACTTTAACATCACTTTGACTTTTTTTTAGGTGCAAAATCCACAGATCCTTGTATCCTCCTCTTTCTCGTTTTCTTGGCCACCTCGGGGAAGTCCTGTCTGTTATCCAAGCTTGAACCCTCTGCTCCAGAGCATGCTCAGCAGCGAGTAGCTTGCTAAAGTACCAGGTCTTGGGCGTCTCTACAGCCGGGAAGCTGCTGCCTCCCACTGCCTACATCAGTGCCAGAGATACTGTCTCCATGGCAACAGAGAGCTTTTTTTGTTTTTCTGATGAACAGTTTCAAGGAATAGAAAAAAGCACATCTGGAGTTGCCTTATCAGCTGCTCCCTGCCCCCCTGCCTGCCAGAGTCAACAAGAGACAATACCTCAGTTTTAGCAGACCTGGGCTGAACATCCCAGGAGACAGAATGAAAGCAAGTGAGGTGTACAAGAGAGAGGAGTGTATTATTGATTTAAGGATGGCTTTGGGTTGGTTACCTTACTGTTTTCATGTTAGGGGCTTTTCATGGGAGTAGCTCAACCACACGAGCCTGCTGTGTATTTTCTATCTGTTATGTGTTGCTGAACATCTGAGCAGGACTCACTTTTGTATCCCTCATTCATAAAGGCAGTTTCTAAGTTTCTAAGCCGTTTGTTCAGCCGTACTTTTCTTATGGGATAGAAAATTCTTACGTATTTTTTGGGAGTCAGTGCTTCAAAAAAGTTCTTTAGAATTGTCATTATTTTCACTTTCTGTGTCTAGTTCTAGGAACAAGTGTTTTGCCACTGTTGTCTGCTGTGTAAGAAAGCCTCTTTTTTACAAAGAGAAGCCATTTCTTAATGGCTTCTGGGTTATCAAACAGGAAAGCTGTTACTGTCATATATAACCCACTGTATGTGGTTTCTTTAACTTCTTCGACTCTTATGGATCATTTTTTGGTCTGTTCTCAGAAAGGAGATCAGGTGATCCTGTTCCTTCCCTGCCTCACACCATCCTCTTTTGAATACAGCAGTTCTAGCAGACAATTTAACAAAGAGGTGATGCTGGCTGGCTGTGTCCAGCACAGGAAGAGGCAGAGGAATTGGGCTCCCTGCCATCAACCTCTAACTTCAGCAGGCGGGATGTGGGAAAAAGCAAAACCCAACCCCAGCCAAATAAAGCTGGCCTGCAAAAGACCTTCATTCCTGAAGAATTTTTGAATTAAATACTGGCTACAGCCAGCCAGATTCCACTGAAAATGACTATGTCAACTGGTTTTAAATAACAGTCTTTCATGTATGTGCTTTTTATGTTTCTTCCTATTGTCTGTTGATTTCCCCATAGACACCGACAAATTAAATCTTTTGCTCAACACATTTTTGTTCCTTCTTACTTTGCAAACAAGGATTTTTGAGTCTGAGTAGAAACAAGATGGCTGTGTATGCATTGCTCGCCTTCCACTCCCCAAATGGCCATTGGGAGGAGGTGGCAGCTACCTCTGTGCATCTGACAAAATCAGTGCCTCCTCTGGGTTTTCTGCACACCTGTGACTCATTCCTGTAGCAATCCCTATTACTCTTCCTATTATTTTAGTAGTGCTGTGAGAGTCCCTCTGTACTCTTTACAGAACAAGCCAGTCCTGACTACACTGGGTTTCCTTTTGTAAACAGGCAATTCATTTCCAAACCTTCTCCTAAGAATGCCAGATCCAGAGTGCAACAGTAGTCGCAGATTGCAGAATTATTTCTGTAAGTAACCTACCTCCAGTGTTGAGCCAGGAAATGAGAGTTAGTCCCTCCTGGGGACACAATGCCCTTATTACACTGTATGAGAAGAAGTCTGATTTCTTTGCGAAAAAAAAAAAATGGAACAACTAAAGCTGCCTGAATCCCCCTCTCTGGAAGAAAGTCTGACAGAGACTTGGAAATGGCAGCTACAGTATTCCTTGAAAATACTGAAAGCAAATGGTAATGAGAACCAGCTGGAAAGAATGAAATCTTCCACATGGTTATATGTGCCATCTGTATTGGCTCAAATTGTATGGCTATGGCCTGAAAATAAAGAAAGATCCTTTACAAGCACCCTTATGTTCCGTTCCATTGCAGTATGGATTCTTTAAAATGCCCCACAGAGTGCTCTGAGATACAATGCAAGGCTGTCTTCCCACAGCATGAGCCTGTTGATATTGATGTTACTACATCACCTAAGAATTAGTGGCTCTCTTGCTGCCTGAGCAGGCTTCTTGTCCTCAGGATCAGCAACACATGATTCAAACATTTATGTAATACTGCAGGTCTTGAACACAGTTGTCTTCCATCTGCATCTGCTTATAATATAACATTAAGTAAACATAATGTTCTTCTGACTTTTGAATGGCAAGGCCCAGAATTGTATTAAAAGATCTTCAGGGCAAATCTGAAGCCTCCCTTTAAACCTGGCCAGCTTTGCCTGGGCCTCCTCTGCCTGGAGAAAGGGCCTCAGTCATGATCTGCCATTTGATCTTCTGATTCATTTCAGCATCTCAGACTTAAGGGAGCAGTCAAGGACAAAGAACAAGGAAGGGTTCACTGCATGGCCTCTAGTGCCATAATCTGGCAGAAGTTGAGTTTTTTAATGTTTTCTAATCTCTGAATTTCTTTTTTTTTTTTTTCTTTTTTTTTTTTTTTTCAAAACTGCTTCATACCTAAACTGTTCCCTGGGGTTTGTAGTAAAGTCATCCATAACTACCAAATCATACTTGGAGAGGGATGCAAAGCTAGGAATGTAATTTGTTTAAGTTTTTCTCACTTGCTCTGTCAAATACTTGTAAATACTTAGCAAGTTCAACAAACCATAGTGGATTAACTACCTTTAAATTATTAGAGTTCATACCTAACTCACAGAGACACCAGTGCAAAAGTGAGCTGAGAAACAGTTTGAAAGATGACAGGTTCATGGTATCCTTTTCATAGCAAGAAAGAAGCATATCAATACTTGCTAGAAGGACTCAAAGTGGAAAGTGAGAGCTGTTTGGAGAAGAGAATAGACAATACAATAAAACCTTCTCCATGGTGTGAGAAGGTAGCTGGGCTTTCAAATACAAAAGCAGTTTCTCTTTCTGCCAGGAATTAAAGTATATGTTTTATATTCAATTATGCCTTTAAGTATGTAGTCTGGGCTCTGACGAGGAGGATGGTGACCATGGTTATGATCATTAGTTTTCTACTTTGCAGCATTAACTGATTATCTTTGAAGTTCAACCTTTCTTCTTAACATCCTGACCCGTAGGAAAGAGCCTGGCAGCAGCTACTGAGCATAGAGGAGTCAGCACCAGGGGATAGCAAGGGCTTGTGGCTCCCGGGGATGGGCGTAGGGAGCTTTAGGGAAAGCCAAGGGCAGCAGGGCAGGGCCTGCCAGCCCAGGCTCACCCCACTACCCCAGCAAAGGGCACCAAGGCAGTCCCAGTCCTGGGCATTTAGCACCTCCCTGGGAATGGGGGCAGGCCTAGGCTGGGCTGCCATGTCAGCTCCCCCATGGAAGTTGGAGACCAGTGTCCTGTGATGTTCCTGGTTAGGACCTGAAATGGGGTCCTGGGCTGTGGGCAGGGTGAGGGGAAACCCAAGTGAGGGTGTTGGGACCCTTGCACTCAGGATTGAAACATTGTGAACTGTTTAAAAACAGCATCAGAAATTCCATACCATTTTTCTAGTGTGGGGTCACCAAGTGGCTGAGGCTGGATCTGGACTCCATGAGCATGTTTCTTTCCACTCTTCCTTTAGCCTCAGTGAGCTTGGTCTGAGTTAGTTATGTATACTTAAATCTTTTATGCACCTGTTTTGTGTGACTTCACTGTCAATCCAAAAGGAATAGGGCCTCTTCTAAGCGATTTCCTATTGTAAATAAAATGTGCTCCTCGCACATTTTCTACTGGAAAGTAGAAAGTGCCTGTGTAGCACCGAACAGTATCATACAGAGGTGCTCAAAATTAGTAAGAGACCTAATTTCAGTCAGGAAATAAAAGTATCTGTGTGCAGTGCATATATTTAAAATGGAGGCTAAGAAGCCCAGCTGTGCTATGTTAACGTGACTGCATTGCTTTGGGTGCTAGGGTTGACTTGGACCTCTCTTAGTGGTCCCATATGTTGAATACCCCACAGACACTTCGGTTTATATTTCTAACTGCCTGCATCCCTTGAGTGGTTTAAAGTGCTTCTGATGCAGAAGAAAGATACCCTACGGAGTCACCCCTTTCTCCTTCATGTTTTCACAGCTCTGGTCCTGTGTGAAGACACCAGGGGCTGACAGAGGTTCTTTAGCAGCAGCACCCCAGTGAATCACTGCTATGGAAACAGCCAGGAATTCTGTGTATGACATCTGGAGAGCTTCCAAAGAGGTATCTCTAACTATATTCAGCCTAGGCCATGCTCATATCTGTACGGTTTCCACTGTCTTCTGCCCAAGGTGCCATGTGCGTGAAATTGTTCAGACTCCTGTTTTGATGAGAGAAGGCCTAACCAGTTGCAAACTAATAATAGCCAAAATTTAACTGTCATCATTAAAATATATATATATACACATAAAAAAAATTAACTGCTAGTAAAATAATGTAAAAAATGGATCGTGTCAGTAAAATACTTTGGCATTTCATTGGTATAAATACCCAGACTCCCTAAGCACTTTCAATGCATAATCCAGATTTACTGCCTTTTCACGATGCCTGAAGTGGTAGATTCTTTAAAGCTTGCAATGACTGACCATAAGCATGAATTTTACAAATCCAGAATTACAAATTTATAGTCTGAGTGAACCCTTTTACCACGTGCTTTAGAGATTTACTGAGGTCCTCAATGTTTGAAATGTTTTTGTGAAGAAAATTAAAATGTCACTTAAAAATGAGAACATGACCAATAAATTCTTGTTGGGTTTTGGAGGTCAAAGGAAAAAAATCTATTGGTTTGCATGTAAAATTAAAGCCCTCCCTCAAAGGAAAATAATTTCCCCCCCTCATATTCTCTCCTATCTTTATAGTTGATTCAACTTGATGAGGGTTACCAGGCCAAGAAGTTTAAACATGGAGGATGAAAAATATCAAAGCTTCATTCAGCCAGGAAATGCAAGTAGTGACAGGACAAACTTCCCCTGTGAACATGTTGGTGCTTTCATTCACTCAGTTCTCAGCTTCCTAGACTACTGCATAAAGTTAGCTATTAATTACATGGAAACCCTCTACCTCAATTGAAGAGAGCATAACAACTCTCACAGAGCAGAACAGTCATCACCTTTTAGTACCAAGAAAACCTGAACTGGTGACTTACGCAGACACCACGTCTATACCCTTCTAGTGCAAGGAACCATATTTCAGACTTGACTCAGCTCATCACCTCCCATCCTCATAGCCTCAGATTCATGCTGAGACTGACTGCAGAATGATGAAAATAGCAAGACAAGGCATTTCATGTTCTATTTCTGATCTGTAAAGAAAAGCAAAGAATGAGAAATGTCAGGAGTAAAGCCAGCCTTAGGAGATAACCTCTCTCCAGACAAAAGAGATTTGAAAGCACAACCATCTTTATTTTAATGCCTTTCTGAATAAAACCTCTGAATCTCTTGATGCATAGGCCACCACTAATGTGATCAAATCATACTCAGGCTGTCTGTGGGTTTCTAAAGTACCTATCACTGCCACAGCTAGGTGACAGATTACAAGAATTAGAAGAGACATCACTGCAGTTCCATTTATACTGTATTTTCTGTCCCCCCTAAGGCATTTTAAGATGGATTCTCTGCTCTCTGCTAAATTTGCTTTGCAGTGGTTATAGAGCATAGAGAGAACTCAAACAGGCAGGAGGTTCCCACAGGAAAACTCCCTCAGTACGAGAGGTCTGTGCCAGTTGTATAGCTGTGTCTTCTCTGCTGCCTGTCCGTCTACTCTCAGCAGGAACAGGATGAAACAAAATGCTATATTACAACAGATCTTTCTCTGGTACAAGGTCTATTATCTTGTTTGCACTGGTGGTGTAAACTGGAGTATGTGATTTATTGTTATAGCTTCCAGTTGGATAAGACAGCTAAGATTTGGACATCTGCCTCTCCAGCATGCATTAGTCAAGGGTCAAGGTCTCTCATATTCTGTTTTGCAGGAAAGCAATGGGGAAAGACACCCACTGTCTGTTTGGCAAATTACTTCACAGAAAAGGATTACTGCATGCAGACCATGTATTGGTCTCAGCCTGAGGTCGAGCTAAGCTGTTACTTCACTGGAGAACATGACAAGATGTTCTCATGGCTTAAGGTTTTCTGGCTCAGGAGATCTTGCCTCTGAGGATGGTAAAATAAAATTTAAGGGCTTTCCTACCTCAACTGCTTACAGGAAAACCAATCATTTTTTTTTTTTTTTCTCTTGCCTAGGTTTTCACACAAACAAATCACAGATACTTTTTCCTGCCTATTGTTCATAATCTCCTCCTGTCCCCATAAACTTCTCTAAACCAAGCCAGCCAGCCTACTCATTGGAGATGGGTTAATTTCAGTTTTCAGTGTTACCTGGATTTATAATCGGCCTGCTGTGCTTTATAGAGTCATCATGGAATCATAGAATTGGTTTGGGATGGAAGGGATCTTAAAAATCATCTAATTCCAACCCCTCTTTATTAACTAATAAATTTGTTAATTTATTTTGCCTTTCACTGCTATGGGCAGTGACACCTTCCACTAGATCAGGTTGTTCCAACCTGTCTGTGAACTCTGCCAAGGATTGGGCACCCTGTTCCCTTGCCTCACTACTCTCCTTGTAAAAAGTTTCTTCCTTATAGCCAATCTAAACCTACCCTCTCGCACTTTAAAACTGTTGCCACTTGTCCTGTCACTACATTACTTTGTAAAAAAGTCCCTCTCCATTCTTCTTGGAGGCCCTTTCATGTACTGGAAGGCAGTATGAAGGTGCAGCTGAAATTTCTCAGGTTTTATTAGTCTTCTGGTTTTTCCCACCTTGCTCCTTCTGGGCCCTGCAGCTGGTTAGCCAGAACTCATCCTGTACTTACTGCAGCCCAGAATGCCTCAGGATGTTCCTTCTCGGTTTCCCAAGCCCAGCTCCTTTCCTTGCATAGCCAGCCACTTTGTACAATCAGCTGAGGAAATGTGTTTAGCTGCTTCTTAGAACCAGCTTGACTTTTGGCCTTACTAAACTCTAATTGGCCTTCACAGAGTATCAATGTGTTCAGCATTAGAAACCTGACAATCCCTAGCCTAAATGTATGCATGGCTACTTCATACCCATTTGTTCTTATGCCAGCGTTGTCCTTTATCTTTAAACAGCTTTTTTCTCCTCCCCATGTGTTCATCCCCTGAAGTATTTATTTATAGATTGCAATTATATACCTCTTCACTAGGGTAAACAAGCCAGACTCCTTAGTTAATTAACATCTGGTGAATGATGCAAGGTCAAGCATCATGGATGCCCAAAATCTGCCTCAGTCAGGGCTACATTAAGATTGTCAGGAGCCAAAAAGGACACACCTAATTTTTACCAGAGTTGGTTCTAGCTGCCCTCCTACTTAATGGCAAGTTTTAGTTCAAACTGTGATCAAGTCTTCACTAGCCAGTCCTCCATTTTATCTTTAAGGCAAGGCAGATGTGGGCTATCTTTGATGCACCCTGTTCCATCCTTCTTGACATATCCAAGTGGCTGGGTAATCCACCTTAATCACATTGGGGGTTATTTTTAAAGTACAATTAAGAAGTGAAAAATAAATGAACCTCAGTTGCTTGTTTGTTCTAAACATGTCCAGACAAACACATGGAAATGTGTGAGAGGCAACTGTACTGCATCAGCTCTAGGAGATGGGCTGGAGGAGTTAACAGGGCTTTTCCATCTCTAAACTGCAGGACTGTTGTAATTCATCATTTCTATAGCACCATAAATTATATGGCACTTTGCAAGCACAGAAACAGTTCTTGCTTCCCTGAAGTAGCATGACTCTCAGGACAGGGTGCCTGGCTGAAGTGTGCTCTTCCCCAGGAAGGCTTCCACTATGAATACCATGCCTACAGGACTATGTGACAGTACTGCCCCATTGTCCCATCAGGAGTGGGAGTAAAAAAGCTGGGGAAGGCAGAGGGCTTTTTTCCTAGCTCCCCTGTATCACAGCTGGATTTCTCGTCTCTCCATGGCCTGTTTTAGTATTGCCTGGATGGAGAATAGGCTTCTTGGGGCTTTGATGCAGTCTGGCTGTCCTCCAGCAATATCCACAGTACTCCCTCCCCTCCCATATGCTCTCCATTAACATCCTCCTGTCTGCTGAATAAGGAAAGAATAACTCTCCCAGCCCCAGCCGGAGCCCCTGAGCCAGGGGAGTTCATCAGTCAGACTGGTTTCTCCTGAACCCAGAATAGGCCTCGTTAATGGGCCAGGAGGGGATTTTTTTTTGCCTTTCAGCTTGTGGCTGCCCTGAGCCAGAAGTAGAGTCAAGTTACTGTGTCCGGGAATCTCAGCTATTCCAAGAGTAGGAGCAAGTGAGCTGCTGACTCAGGAGGTTTCCTAGTGTTTTCAAGCAGGGCTCAGTCCTGTCAAAGCAAACTGAACTGTTGGCCTTGTCTTCTTCTAGCCCCTGGACAGGCATTAACAAAAGTCACAGTTGACTGAAATAGGCTGGGGAATTGATCTGGAGCAGGACTATGGATCCTACTTTTTCCTGGCATAAACACAGATCCTCGCAAAGACATATATTAGTCCTCTACTCTTTTTTACTCCTCTCCTTAGAGGGCAGTTTAGTATAGTATAGATATCCACAAGCTATGAGGCAGCTTAGCTTTATTTGCATAATTTTCTAAAAGAGAAGATAAAATCAGAGAGAGAAACAGACTTATGAGACAAAATGTTTAATTGCAAATCAGTGTTAAAGGGTCAAGAATCCATGCCACCCTGAGCCATGCTGTCACCCAGAGACCACCTTACTTCTATGTTATGTAAGGATGCAGGAGGATCCTTCCTGTGTGGCTAAATTGTCCTTTGGACTTCCCAGAGCCTGGAATGGAGTCACAGGCTGTGTCTGGAACAAGCAATTAGAAGTCATGCTGAGTTCAGGATTCTTGTCCTCATTTCAAGCCTGCCTACGTGCTCTTATCTCTTCTAAAGGAACCGGTTTCTAGAGGTTAGCAGAGAAGACAAATCTTCTACAGCAGTTCGCTGCATTCACCCCTCATGAAGCTGTGCACACTCCTTTGCACAGAGACTGAAGTAATTGAAGAGTATATGCTCCCAATTTTGCACCCCTCCATCTCCCAGCACTTTGTGACTCCAGCCAGCCTGTTATAACCTGTCCCCTCTCAACCCCTGAAAAGTTCTGCCAGCAGAGAGTCTCAGCTCTTTTCTTTGAGGTCATGTTAGTCTTTACTTCACTGCCTCTGACTGTGAGCTGCATTTTCTTACTGTCCTATTCCCTTCTTCAAACTCACTTCACCAATGAAAAACCAGCCTAGTATATAAAAGGCAATTGGTGGAAGCTGGTGTTTATAAAACAGAAGGTTTCTTCTGCCTGCAGCTATTGGCATGTCTATCCCAGACACATGCCCTAAGACTAGGATCTGATACAGGAACAAAGAAAGATAAGAGCTTCTCTTACTTGCCTTCAGTCTTGAGGATACAAAGGTCCCCAGTTTGAACAGCTAAGGAGCTCTTGGCTTGTGGCCTAAATGCCACCTGTTTCTGCACTACGGCCAGATGGGTAGGACACCTGTCTTAGCCAGCATCTGACAGAGATTTCCCTATGTAAGGAGAATTTTCAGCTACCTTTTTGAAGGACTTACTATCCCTTTAGAGGTGCCCAACATCCCAACAGTGACAAACTGCAGCTAAGGCTCTGGCCCACTTACCTTTGGCATGCTGCTTGTTTTAGGGCAGGAGCTCTGGCAGAGGTTCACAGACGGTGCCTGGGACTTGTGAGGGGTACAGGGAAGCAACCAAGGAGGAAGAGCCTGCTCCAGGACATTTTATTTTCTAGAAAAATGACAAGTGCTGATTTTTCTCCCTAATTTAACACACCATCTGGATTAGGATAGGAGTCCTATCTACACAATTTGTCCATTGAACAATGTCCAAAAAAATCTAGGTGTCTTCCTCCAAAATCTTTGCATCAGAGGGGACTGAATTGTTTCATGTCAGCTAACCAGGGTATGATCAGGTATGTGGGACTGGAATACAGTAAAAATGAACTGCAGAAAGCAATACCTGTAAGAACAGATTTCATTTCACCTGCTTGCTACCTATGAGACAGTGATCCCTGTAAAAAAAGGCAGGACAAACCTGCTCTGATAAATATGACCAGATGAAATAACTTATTTCATAGTCTATCATCTAGTTCAGTGAGTCACATGTGGTATCTCTAGAAAGTTGGTAACACCCTAGAAATCTGTAACTTAATACATATTTAACTGAGGTCTTGTCTCATATTTAATAGCAACTCCAACTGGGCTTGCATAACAATCTAGAGAAGGGTGGGGACTGCCAACATAGGCTTGAATAGAGCACTAATAACCCTTTAGTATCCATGACGCCTAAGAAAAAATCAGCAGAGCATTTGTGTTTGTAGCTAAGGCTTATTTGCAAAGCGATAGAAATGTGATTACCAAGACAGATGCATTGGCTAAAGAGCTGAGAGCAAAGGACGGACACAGAGTGGTGGTAGGGATACCCTGAGAACAGTGGGTTCCATGTGAGGGCAACATTCAGAAGAAGCTGTGAGCTCCAAATGACCAGCCCAGAGAAAAAGACTGTCTTGAGAGTTTCAGGATAAACACAGCTAAACTATAAGGATGCTTTATCTTTTCAGAGAGACAGAGCCCAAATGCTGCAGTGTTTCAGGCAGCCAGAACAGCATTTGCTGCGTAATGTGAAGTATTTAAGTACACATGGGCTTCATGGTGTTTCCTGCCAATCTGCAAAGTATCAGTGTGGTGTCTTGTAGTGCCAGGAGCTGGATGAAGAAGAGAAGTTTCCCAGTGGGCATAACCTAATTGCTTTCCTACCTGGGGCACATGGCTGAAAGGCTATGGGGAAATGCTGAAATGCCACACTGTCTCTTCCGATAAAATGAATAAATGTATCTTCCCCTTCTCTGTCTTCTAGAGAGTACTGTACCTTCTTCTCTAGCTATACATCCAAGGAAACATAAATACTCTCCAAGTTCCCCAACTGGCCTGAGCTCTGCAGACCAGGGGCTGTGACAGAGTAGTACAGCATGTAAGGACTGTATCCTGTGGACCGCCCTTCCCTCTGGATGGCTTCCTCCCCATGTGCAGAGGTGACTCCTGGTGAGGCACTCATCCAGCTGCTTCAGGTGAGGTACACCACTTGAGTCTCTCCTGGAAAATCTCATGCCTTCTTAAAGGTTGTTCATACCCATCTGTATGCATACACATGTAAACAGCATGATAGCACATTAAGACACAGTTATGACCTATGATAATGGCAGTGAAACATGAAAGCTTCTTTCCTCATCCTTGTTTTTCTGGTTTGAAGACCAGGGTGTGACTCCCTGAGTGGAGGAAAGAGGGGTAGGTGCTTCTGTCAGTTCAGCAGCCCTGTTCCAGCAGTGGCAAGGCAGATGCACTGCAACTGCTGCTATGCAACTGGAGCTTCAGGTCACTTCTGACTCGAGGAGGCATTTATTGTCACTGGTAATTGTTACTTCCTTACACAAAGCAAACAAAAATACCTGCTGCACCAGCACAATCACCTGCTGTGGTTTAGCCAGGGGGAAAGGGGTGGATAGTACGGCCCAGCTGATGCAAGAGAGTGCTCTGTGCTACTCCATGCTGCTTTGTGCCTTTTGGGTGATTAGGGACATGCAAAATGTTTCAGACATTAGCCAGTTTTCCTGAGATATGTGTACACCCCAGACTAATCATGGGAACTGTCTGAGATAAACTGAAGTGCTTATAGTAAGTGACTTGAAGTGCACACGAGAGGGACATGCATGTGTCCCCTCCCTCCCAGGCCAGCTGGGAGGGTGGGTAGAAGGGGCTGGGAATGGCGAGGGGGAATGACACACTGAAGATGACGGGGATCCAGTGCCCCAGGCGTTCTGCAAATGGCTTCCTTTCGTCTGAGCACAATGAGCTTGTGAAGCGAAAGGAGACAAATGCCGTTTGCAGAAGAGCAGGGATTTTTTTTTCTCCTTATTGCAGGCAGGACCAGCTGCGTTCCAAACCCGTGACTGCAGCAGCCATGACCCCTCCGAAAGGAAATCTGAGCCCGCGAGCAGTTGTGCTTGGGGAGGGCCGGGCTCTCACGTTTCTCTGTTTTGTTTTGGAGCCTCGGATAAATAGTGAGCTTGCTTTTTCCCTTCATTTCTTTTCTTACTTTCTTACTTTCTTTTTTTTTTTTTTTCCTCTGAATGTATTTCCACAGCCTCAAAAAAAGGAATTTTAAAAAGAAAAAGGAAAAAAAAAAAAAAAGAAAGAAAAAGAAAAAAAAAGGTTCTGGCAGGGGAACAAGTATGTTTCAAATTACAGAAAGGATGTGAAAGGTTCAAGAATTTGAGCCCTGACTCCGCCTGTGTCTGTCTCCACCCCCACCTCCCGCCCCATCCCCCCGAGAGCGGCTCGCATTGTGGCTGCTGCGCTGCCGCAGCGCGGGGCGGGCGCGGCTGTGTCCCGCTGGGGTGCGGGGCCGCGCCTCCCGCACCCTGCCCGCCTCGCCGGCTGCTGCCTGCCTGCCTTCCCCAGCTTCCAACCGCCCTTTTCCCAGCTCGCAACTTTCAGCTGGGGTTTTTTGTCTCCTAGGGTGTGCATGTGTGCGTGTGGTTTAGCTACGTCCCAGGAATGTGCCGAGGTCCCACTTCTGAGGGCGGAGCGCCCTCTGCTCGCTGGGGAGGGGGGAGAAGCGGGCAGAGGTGCAGCTCTAGGGCGGAGAAGCAGGTTCCGCTGCTGCCAAGGCTAGAGGCGTGCCCGCAGGAGCCTGTGCAGGGACACGTCGGTGCCCCCGCGGTGACTCGGGCAGGGCCGGTCGCGGCGCTCCGCAGCGCCCTCGGCCCCAGCTGCGCTCGCTGCTTGAGCCCGCAGCCACCGCACCCCGCGGAGCTGGCTGCCGCTGCTGAGCCGCAGAAAGATGGGGTGGGGAGAAACCACCGGCAAAGAGGACGGTTGAAATGGCTTGATCTTCCCTTCTAGGGGAACATCATGGTTAGATCTAGTCTCAGTGCCTTATGGAGGATCATATCCTGAAGACCTTCTCCATTATATGACCACTTCATCCTGTCCCCAGATGGAAACAGAGACCACCATGAAATGCACATACTCAGTTTCCGAAAAGGGGGATCCTGTGAATAAGGTTACATGGCAAAACATTATTTTCTTGTCCTTCTGTAACGTGATCAGGTACCCCCTAACCATAAGGCTATGAAAGCTGGCATATTTGTCCCTTGAGAGTTGCACAGCTAATTGCATGTCAGTGAGGTAACTAAGGTCTTCATGAAATGTCTGCAAGATAGAGGGCTACCAGAACAACCTGTCAGGTCTGTATCATGTGTATGGCTGCCATCTTTGCAGCCTACAAGAAAGAGGGTGACAAACACATGAACTATGGCTTGATTGAATTTTCTGCTGGGCCAAATTCAGAATGAAATATTTTTGGTTGGGCTCTCTGGATTACGAAACTATGGAAGAGCATCAGTATTGTTGACAGATAAGGACTCGCCCTCTTAAGAAGAACAACTGTAACATAAATCTTCAGGAGCTGAAATGTCTATTATGATCTTGACCTTTACTAGTGTCTTGTAAAAACTATTAGCACCAGTCAATTAACTTGAATCTGCTGCTTCATGCTGAAAAAATTAAATTTTGTCCTTGCAAATTTTCACTCCATCATCTCTTCAGATTCTGTAACTTTGCTGTAACAGATTCAGGTGAAGGGCCTGAAGCATCTTAGCTGCACTGAGCAGTACCTTGTACATTGCATGCTCCCAGTCTTATGATGCTTGATTTCATGCATGGCTGCAAGACACACTTTTGCATAGGGTGCATGTCCGCTGATACACACTGAACACTCCCTGTGTGGATGGGAAGCTACTGGAACAAAGAACTATTGATCTAAGTTTAAAAGAGGAAGACTAGGATCAGTGTACCCGCTTTGGCAGCCTGTGAGTTTTCTCCTTTGCAACTAAAAGCCACAAATCTATAGGCCAGTTCAGCTAGAGGGATCAAAGGTCTTCACTGTAAACAAGCTGTGATAGTTTGTCATAAAAGATTAGTCTTTATACTTACTCTGAGATTTCCAAAAATTCTAATTTGTGATGTTGTCCTAAGCATTGTGATGGTGCCTAGGAAATCAGTCTGAATTGGATCTGTTTTGCTGGATGGGATTAATTACAAAAAGATTGTTTTCCTTGCAAGACATCCAAAGGTCCATCTAAACTAGCTAACACATTGAATACCATGGTGTGCATGTTGTGTTTTCAAAACATATTACTTAAACAGTGCAATTTTCTTTCTAATATTGAAGAGCTCTGACAATGTCACTTGGCTGTGTCACTCTCAGAAGCTATGGGAGATACGTAGTGTTTAGCCAGCTTTTTACATAGTCTAATTTTGTGCTGGCAGGCTGAATTCCTGAGGTATGTTAGATGAGTCTCAGAGCTGCCTTAATTTATGCTAGCCAAACCATTTCCTTCTGCGCCATTTCACAGGTGCAGGATCAGCAGAGCAATTCATGTTCCACTCCCCGACCGCCCCTTCTCAGTGTCTTACCAGAATTTATCCCTGAATTCCCAGCAAGGGGACAAATGCTGCCACCAAGCTTAAAAAAGCTTTATTGATCTGAGAATGCTCAGAGATCTGCACAATATAAACTGCAGCTACATCCCTCTAGCACACTGCTTGCATGTGATCAAAATCTTCACTCTCAATTTTAGTTGCATTAGGCCACATAGTAGGACAGAAAGTTGCATCTAGTTCCTTCCTAGAGGTTCAATCTCTTTTGATTTTGTGTTTGGCCAAATAAGTAATATTTATTTATCAAGCCTTTCTGGAATGAAAATGTGGTCTTGAACTCTTCAGCTGAAAGAAGCCATCCAATATCCCTGCAGGTTGTTCCTGGTATAAAGGTACAATCTGGCTGCCACATTGTTGTTGCTCTGGAGTTTCAGTGGACACACAGATAAATAAAAGTGACACCTGCCGCAGGCCAGTTTCCATCTCTATTTGATTATGTTGTTTTCTTACAGAAGATTTTTGACGGCTGCAGCTAGTCTAGAAACTTAAGTGTGATAATTGAACAAATCAGTTTAGTTGGGCATCTGATTCTGTGCAAGCCTAAGTAGAATAGTAATGTGTGACTAATGCACAACAGCACTTTGCATAAGGTAAAGATCCATGTCTAACATATGCAAGCCCAAGACACTGTGGGAAGAAAACAGCAAAGATACTGAACAGGATGTATGTGCTACTCCTCTACTCCAAAGTGTACCCTTCTCCTATACAACAAACAGTGCTGTAAGGACAGTGAAGCAGGACCTTCACTCTCTGACATCAGGTACCCTGAGAACCCATTGTTCTCTCCTCCTTATTTTCCATGCTGGAAGTAAGTGAGAAACTTCTCACTCCTGATCCAGTTTAACTGACCTTAGATCATCTGCCAGCTAATAAGCCAGGAGGCTCATTTCAAAGGAAAATCTGGGACGCTGCAAATCTTGTTTTCTGTTATGTAACAATAATTGTGTGATCAGTTGGTCAACAGACTTGGAGCCACTGAAGAACATCCTAGGACATTATGTGTTTTAAACAACAGCCCCCAAAATGCATAGTATCTACACTCGGGTCTGTGGATCAGCTGCAGTAACTTCGGTGGGTCCAAGAGATACTAAGACTGTCCTGCATCAGTGAGACGTCACATGTGGGCCAACAAGCAATAGCAGAGTTGTCACACTGGTATGGAGCAGTTGTCAGGTATCTTGAGTTCTTCAGCCTCAGGCCCACTGAGTCCAGCACAAAATGTGCCACAGCCACTGCTGACACACCAGCTGCTGGAGCAGGGTGCTGGAGGAACATGGTACAACAGTTAAAATGGTACTCCTGCTGGTAGTGCTTCACAGCAGAGCAGCAACGAAGTAGCTGTGGTTGAGACCCCACCTGTATCCAGTTGTGGGTTCCACAGCACAGGAAGGACATTGGGCCTGTTGGAGTGAGTCCAAACGAAGGCCACCAAGTTCATTAGAGGGATGAAGCACCTTTCCTTTGAGGAAATGCTAAAATAATTGACTGCTCAGCTTGGAAAGGAGAAGGCATTAGGGTGACCCAATAGTGACCTTCCATTACCTGAAGGGAACCTACTGGAAAGCTGGAGAGAGGCATTTTGTAAGATTATATAATGTCAGAACAAGGGGGAATGATGTCAAACTGAGAGAGAATAGGTTCAGATTAGATATCACTAAAAAATTCTTTGCTGTGAGGGTGGTGAGACACTGGAACAGGTTGCCCGGAGCAGTTGTTCATGCCCCATCCATGGAAGTGTTTAAGGCCAGGTGGAATGCAGCTCTAAGCAACCTGACCTAGTGGAAGATGTGCCTGTCAACGTCGAGGGATGGCAGTAGATGATGTTTCAGCTGGTTTCCAGCCCAGGCCATTCCGTGAGAGCGGCTCCGGGCGAGGCGGCCGTGCCGGGCCCAGCGGCGGGGCTGTGCTGGCACCTGGCGGCCGGCGCGGGCACTGCCGCCCGGGGCCCGCGGGGCTGAGGGCTCCGGCAGCGCCGGGGCGGCACCGGCCGCTCCCGCCTCGGCGGGCCCCAGGGCAGCGGCCTGTGCTGCTGTAGGCTCCTGTGCTGCTCAGCCGTGAAGTGGAGTTAATTGTCTTTCAAGTGGCTGTGCTTTGGATTTGTGCTGAACGCAGGGTTGATAGTAGAGAGATGTTTTTGTTATTGCAGGGCAGGGCTTACACAGAGCCAAGGCCTTTTCTGCATTGCTAAGCTGGTGAGGAAGCTGGGAGGAGACTCAGCCAGGACAGATGACACCAGCTGATCAAAGGGATACTCCACATCATGTGACATCGTGTTCATTATAGAAAGCGGGGGAAGCAGGAGGAGGGCAGGGATGTTTGGAGCTATGGTGTTTGTCTTCCCAAGTCACCATTATGTGTAATGGGTCCCCGCTCTCCTGGAGACAGCTGAACACCCGCCTGCCATGGGAAGCAGTGGATCTATTCCTTGTTTTGCTTTGCTTACATGTGTGGCATTTATTTTCCCCATTAAATTATCTTTATTTCAACCCACAAGCTTTCTAGCTTTTTACCCTTCCAGTTCTCTCCCTGACTGTGCTAGTGGGGGAGTGAGCAAGTTGCTGCTTGGGGCTTGATTGCTGGCTGGGGTCCATACCAACCCCAACCACAACAACTTCTGTGAAAATGTACCTCAGTGTTCAGCAGGAGTCAAGAAACAGTAATGAGT